CTTTGATTACACATGTAGATTGTGCATTTGGATGTGTATACTTCACGCATTAGCGTTAACGTGGGAAAGAAAGTAGTTAGTGTATGCGTGGCTTGCTCCCGACAAACTAATAGGCAGCACTACGCTTGAAATTCAGTTTTCCCGACCTTTGTCACCTCAACCAAAGCTCATTAAGTTACTCCCTGGTACGGATTCAGTATGCACACCACTGCACAGTGGTCAACTGTATATTACTAACTACTTATTTACTTATAGTAAGCCGTTTTCTTGCGTACTTATTCAGCATTTAGAAATCCTTTGCCCTCCCCCCACGGAAATCTTTAGCGTCCTGCGGTAAATTTGAGTTTTATTCTACTAGTTTAGTTTAGCTTTCAGTTAAGTTTAGTTTATACTTGTTTTTGTTCGAGTTAGTTGGCTTTATTTTCGTTTAGTTAGCTTAGTTTTATTAGTGACATGCGGTTACTTTTCAGCTTAAAAATGTTGGGAATAAGCCTATCTTTCATGTTTCTACTTTAATCTCCAAAATTCGCAGTTTTTTGCACGCTTCCGCACCTTTCGCATTTCCGCATTTTGTACATTTTTGTTTTTGTTGTGGCCTATTATTTGTATTCGTCATTTTGAACACCGCGCGCAAATTTTTGTTGCAAAAGAATAGGTTATTTAAGCAAGTGTTCTATTATTTTCTGCTTTTTACGCTCTACTTTTTTATTTATTTTTTTTCTCTGATATGCCCCACCTATATAACCTCTTACTTCCGGTCACCTATTACAGAATGTTTTGTTACTGTAGTGATCTGCATACATAATCCTTACCACACCCACCATTTTCCGCGAAATATGTACGGCTGATAAGCTTAGATGGATAACGGACGGAAAAATCAACTGTTTCAATTAATATGTGCAAATATTCGGGGTCCAGATATCATATCGTGTTCATCATCCCCAGAAGATGCTGGGACCAAATTGTATTTTCGCTGACTTTTCGAAAACATGCTTGTTCTCATCGTCAGATCGTAGTGCTTACTCTTTCTTCGTCCTCGAATTAATGCGCCCTACAGCTAGCCGTGTGTTGTAGCCGTGCCCGATGCACGTGCCTTCCTTCGGCCGTTGGCCGTTGGTTTGCTCCATCTTCCCCACTGTCATTGGCGTTGCGTTAACGTGGTCGTAGACCTCCCCCTCATTCGGGACATTCTCGTGGGCCCCTCCGTGAGAACGTATGCCACGCGGGTCATATGACTCTCGCTCACGGTCACCTCCCCTCGCGGCCGCTGGCTGTCAGTTTTTTGTGTCGTCACTCGCCCGCCTTAGCACCCCGTTCTGTGCGAGTGTGAGCCTTGCACGGATGTCTTGATAGGCAGGGTTTAACTCGATGGCTCTGTTGAGTGTACCAGTCGACGATAAGCTTTCGAGCACTAGTCTGACCATCTTATCACTGGCCCTACCGATCACACTCGCCTTCTCAAAGGCGAAAACGTGGTTCCGCTGCTGCACGTGGCCGTAGACCATAGAAAGCTCGTCTTTGTGGTTGATTGCGTGCTGGTGTTCATGCATCCTCCTGCCAAGACGTTTGCTTGTTTCACCGACATATCTTGCTGCACAATCTTGGCAAGGGATGCTGTAGACCACCGCCGATTGTTCGGTCATTGGAAGCGGATCCTTGGGCTTCATAATGCGTTGTCTGATGGTTAGTGCCGGTTTGTGAGTCACGCCAATCCCGGATGGTTTCAACAGTCTTGCAGCCGCCTCTGAGACATTCTTCACATAGCTATGCTATCTCAGCCCGTACCTGAGACCGGAAATTATAGCATGTGCACGCACATATGACAGTTCGACCCTCGATTTCCACCGTGTAGAAACATGTTCATCTCAATTCGGTTTTAGTGGTTTCAAGATGGAGGTTTAGGCCTTCCAACGCCTCGTTTTTTGTGATTGAAATTAAATTGGACAGAAATGGGGGGTATCGAAAACATGATGTTGTCAAAATTAGCCCTTTACCAGTGTAACTTTAGTTGCTACCGGTAGTTTTTAGTAGCATGATAAACTTGCCAGAACTGTCCACGTAGGGCTAATGTAACGGCGAAGTTTATTGTAAGCATGTTTATTAAAGCCAAAATATGAGAACGCCTTTCAGTTTCCGCTTGGTAACAAGGTGCCTAAGAAGGGCATCGCTACAATAGGAAAATTAAAAAAAGAAGTCGTTTACATCATTACAGGCAAAAAGTGGGCATCCGTCAGTCAGTCGAATAGAGTAAACATACAAAACTACCCACTTATTACGAGTGGTATGCTTACATGTAGGTCTACCTTGAATGCCTTATCACTCCTTGAGATTACAGTATCCTCCGGTAGAGTATTCCTTGGTTTCTATGGTCTTGCGCAAGAAGTGCTGCCAAACGTTTAGACGCAACACAACCACGTGACCTTTGAGGGATATCCGTATATGTTAGTTCTGGCAATCATCTCACAGAAATGCACGCAGGCGATCCAAGCCTCGGACGATGCGGCAACTCAGTATAAAAGTGTCCTTGTGTGGCCGGGTCTCGTCGAATGAGCCGCAGCTTGCGAATTTGGCATCATTTCGCCACACTGCAGCCGTGTATTCGGCAATTAGCAGTTTGAGAAGTCTGCCAGTGTCTCCGACGTATTTGCTTTGTCCACAACTGCACCAGAAATTATAGACGACTCCAGATGTTTCTTGCCGTGGCAGTGGGTCTTTTGTTTTCATTATCTGACATCTTGTGGTCTGTGTGCGACTCCAATTCCAAGTGGTGCTAGAAGGCGGCCGACGATCTCCTAGACGTTTTTTACATACGGGATCGCTCGCCAAAATTTGGGGTCGGAGGGATTTTTGTTGTCCCATTTTGGTTGCGCGTGCACCGTTTGACGGAGTTTCGCGGTAGCAATTTTTTCTGAACACTCATGGAAGATATATTTCAGCAAAATTGGCTGGCAGTGCGTCTCAACTCGCCGATAAGGCATCTTTACGCAACTGCGTTTTTGGCTGATTAGATGATCCTCATTCTTGGAAAGTTGACCAGTGTCTCATTCGAGTGTCACCTGCATCCTAAGACCGAAATTGCAGGAATGTATCTCCTTGTGCTCAGCAGCAGATGGACATGCCGGTGCAAGCGTAAAAAGCGAGTTCTGTGGGGGAAGGAAGTTATTAAGAATGGGGCTGTCTCTGATGATGGCTTCGAGTGTGGTACCGAAATGTCCGACAAAAGATATTAGCAGGCGAATTTCATTGGATTTGCCAGCTTACATGTGCACAATGTCTCCTTTTAACTGCTATTGACAGAGCGTATGCATAGTATACCGGTCGCCCCGATTTAATACTGCTAAGACTGTGAGCTCGTGGCTCAATGGTTAGGACGTTCGCCTCTGACCGGAGAGACCTAGCTCAAAACTGAGTGTGGCAGCAATTTCAGCGGCGACACTGGGGTTGGGTATCACTAGCCGATGATGGCAAGTGAACCAGGAAAGGCATTCCTAGTATCCCATGTCTTTGCTGGTAATGTCCTTCTGCCTATATCCTAGCCGACTCGCGGTGGAGGCTCGAGTGAGAGCTCTAATGGCAGCATGGACGGACGAGTATATCCTCTGAAAGATCGGTGTACGCGTATCTGCTACAGTATACCGGTATATAGTTGACTTTTTCACCACTTCGTTCGCATACCTTTGAGCATTTACTATTCCGAAATTGACTGTAAACAAGTTTTTAAGTTTAAATATCGTTCCTTTTGTTTCCTTTCTCCAAAATTGTCTTCCTGGCGTGTTGGTGACTAGTATGTTTCATTCCTTGACCGTACAGAACAAGTGCTGACATAAAACGCTCTGTCCCTTTTTTACCAGCACACTGCTCCAGTTCATTGGCCAGCCATTCGACCCTCCTTCAGTTTCCATTCGGATATGAACCTGATCCCAGTCCTCCACCGCTCCGGCAGTCAGGAATGTGCCAAATCCATTATCAATGACCTGGACGCCAAATTCTCCACTCTTATGATGCCGCGCATTCGACACACCTCTCTGATGATTCGCAGCAAACAGGAAACTGCTGAAATCGAGCATCAACTGCAACGCTACAGCCTCAATCTCAAGGATGTCAGTGGGAAGCAGCCCACCCTGGCAGATCCCGGTTTGCGCTGGAAGATCTCCTACCTCGGTGTTTGGCCCTCACACCAGATTAACCTCAACAGGGCGTTCACGCGAATCTCCAATTCCTGGCGCAAGGCCATCCCCGAGATTGTCAATCTGGCCATACTGAATTGTCATAAAAATTTCCTCTGGTATCGCCTCTTCGATCCGAAGTACTTCCCGCTGCAGTGCTGCTTTGAGACGCGTGACCTAGAGCAGGGAGAGGACATTGTGGCTTCACAGTCGAGCGTCAAGCCGCTTCAGACAAACGTCCATCGGGGTTTGACTTTGGAGGAATTCAAGGTGAGTTAGCGAAAAAGGGAATACAGCCTATATGCACCTAGGAAAATCTTCCATTTACATCTTTTGCAGTAATGTTGTCAAGACGATGCCCTTGTACATCTTAGGCTTGGCGCTCAGGCGAAGTTCTAAACGATTTCAGACTGGTGTTTGTTGCCGGTCAAAAGCATGACTGACTTTCGATATCCGGTGGGCCACTTCGTCGTTGATTTTGATGATGTGTGGGAAAAGTGTACCGCGTACAAATTATTCCAGAGAATCGTCTTTAAGCCATATACCGTCTCTCCAACGTAGTTGCAGTCCCCTTCGTTGCAACGTATGTGGTAGAAGTTTCAGGAGGGGGCAGTTTGTCCTTAGGTTGCATCACACGGTGGCATATTGTTGCCTGCGGTTGATGGGTTATGAATACTCCAGCGGGTTGTAGTAGTCGACAGCTTGCTTCGGAGACTCCCTTTACTTACCATTGCCCGCCAAACTTCGTGCTACTGTTCTTTTGGCCGTCGTCTATTCACTCGGTGCTTGTTTTGTTTCATAAAAGAATTTGTGTATTCATTAGCTCGGAAGAGAACATGAAGCTATTGTTGTTCGGCTTTTCTGTCAACTGTTGGGCTGCAATGTGTATGAACGCAGCTACGTTTGCGAGACAGAAGGTGATTTCTCTTGAAGTGTAGTACTTGCTTTGTATAGGTAGTTCTTCTGAATACTGTAGTTTGCAGTGGCGCAATTGAACACAGGCGCACAACAACATTGAGGAAGGGGGCTGGGTTATTTCTTTCAGTTTCCATCATGAAGTGGATATTCGGGTCAACCGAGTCCAGTATGTCTTTGAGGTGCTCAATGTGAGGTTTTTGACAATGATGGAACTGTCATCGACATTACTTTGGTTGACTGATGATTTATTTACGAAGGCTAATACGCCCACTTTGGCCGGTCATCGCCTTAAAGTACGCCCCGACAAAGCAGGGATCAATGGACGAAAATTCTTCTTCAAGTCAAGTTTATTGAGGGAACTATAAGCAAACGGCTTTGAACTCCCTGCACAAGAAATGTGTCGGCACAGCCGAAAATTACAAACAAGGTCGTTTAGCTAATTTTAGGCGACTACTCACTTTTTCCAAGAAATGCAATCACATGTGGTGATGTCAGTTAACACGAGCCAGCAGGCGTAACTGAGCATAAAGAGCAGACAGTGAAACAACTCCTAAGGCATGGCTCATAATTCAAGATGGAATGTCATTTGTGATTTTTTAGGAGAAAAACTGTAAGTAATGGAAAGGTTGCAGCCTGGAACGCCTTTCCCGAAGAGGTTATCCTCTCCGCCTCTGTTAATTCATTTAAGAGGAAACTGGACATGCACCAAATACGTCATTTCCCAGACACCTGCTACTCAAAGGGACAGCACATGCATTACATTGTACTACTCACTTATCATGAGTAGACATTTGTTATTACTATCAGACTAACCAACAACTGCTGTGTTTTCACCCGCAAGCATGCAATTGCCATACTTTTTTCAATTTTTCTTGGTATCCTTGTATTTCCTATCACCTTGTTACCAATAGGCAGTTAACAGGCGTTCTCCTATCTCTCCCTCAATAAACTCATACTGATGCTGTGCACTCTTGTGGTCTTTTTTAGGATCTCATCGGATCGGCGCCGCAACAGACAGACCTCCTGCGCATGGACCAACGCCTGGAAGCCCTGTTGGAGGTAGGCTGCGAGCATCTGACTGACATGGTCGCCTCTATCAATGCGCACT